GGTGGTAAATTAAAGTGCAAACTAAGCAACGTAAGGTTAAATAAACACAACCGACAGGGCAGAGGGGAGAGTGCAGACCATCTCTCTCTGTCAGGTAGTGGAGTCATCCCTGTCAAAGCTTTAAATAAATCTTTTTTTTTTTTAATTTTGTATTGTATTTTGCAGCCAATCCCACACCGATACTAATATGATATGATGAATTAGTTGACCTCCCACCGTCACCAACTTCCTTCCTTCTTTCCCAATCCATCCATCCATCTATCTACGGCCAGCCAGCTTATCAAATATTTGCAAGTCCATTCTATTCTTCCCCACATAGAGGCCATAGCCCCTCCTCTCCTCAGTCCTCTGTCCTCACTACTCATCAACTCAATCACTCCAGATCTATCCCTTCCCCCACAACGTGAGCATGTACGGTCGCGACCCCTGGGGCGGTCCCCTCGAGATTAATGCCACCGACTCCGCCACCGACGACGACCGCAGCCACAATCTCCAGGACTTGGACCGAGCTGCCCTTTCTTCTTCTCGCCCCTTGGATGAGACCCAACAGAGCTGGCTCCTCGGCCCCACTGAGCAGAAGAAGAAGAAATATGTTGACTTGGGGTGCATCATTGTCAGCCGCAAGATCTTCGTCTGGACTGTCGGCACTCTCCTCTTCTCCGCCTTCTTCGCCGGTTTTATCACCCTCATCGTCAAGGCCGTTCACCGCCACCACCACAGCCACCATCCTCCAGACAATTACACTCTCGCCCTCCACAAGGCCCTCATGTTCTTCAATGGTCAGCGATGTATGTCTCTTCTCTTCTCTTCTCTTCTCTTCTCTTCTCCCTCGATCTATCTATCTATCTATCTATCTCTATCTAGTTTAATTTAATTTAATTTAATTCATAATAAATCTCATCCATTCCATTTTTTTACTTACTTAATTCCCTCTTCCGCTGATCCTGAATGATTGTAGAAATCATCTCTGTGCATCTTACTACTTAACATCAACCTGATTTAGTGGTGTGCATATTTAAGAGCTGTTTGGGAACCTTTCAAAACTTTTCTACTTAAGACATTTTTTTTTTTTCCCGCATACTATTAAAAAGTTTCTAATCTAATCAAGAATATGACCCACGCACAATCCTTCTTTAAGAGCTGCTGTAGTTTTGCAAAAGTCTGGAATCATGAATTCATATAAAAAGATTTTAAAAATAGATTAAAAAAAAAAAAAAAAAACTCTAGTCTAGTAGTAGGATAGGCTTCAGAAAACTGCTCTTGGCCTAAATTTAGCTTTTGCAATTGAGATTCTTTTCAGAAGCTGTGTTTAGCATAGCAGGTTTATGTAATTGTCTGCATAATCTTCAAATTTCTTCATTATATATGGCATTTGCAGCCGGCAAGCTGCCCAAACACAACAATGTGTCCTGGAGGGGTAACTCCGCCCTGCAAGATGGCAAGTCTGATTCCTCCTCTTGGATGAAAGACCTGGTGGGTGGCTATTATGATGCTGGAGATGCCATCAAGTTCAACTTCCCTGCATCTTTTGCTATGACCATGTTGAGCTGGAGTGTCATTGAGTACAGTGCTAAATACGAAGCTGCTGGGGAGCTCAATCACATTAAAGACATCATCAAATGGGGCACTGACTACCTTCTTAAGACCTTCAACAACTCTGCTGATTCCATAGACAGCATTGCCGCCCAGGTATATGAATATTATTATATGATGCGTCTTCCAACCCCCTTCCAAGGTTGCTTTCTTCTATTGACAATTCACAGCCCCCAATTTACGATTGACAGGTTGGGGTTGGAGACACCTCTGGAGGAAGTACAACGCCCAATGATCATTATTGCTGGATGCGCCCTGAGGACATTGATTACCCTAGGCCTGTCTATGAATGTCATAGCTGCTCAGATCTTGCTGCAGAAATGGCTGCTGCTCTGGCGGCTGCTTCCATTGTTTTCAAGGACAACAAGGCGTACTCCAAGAAACTAGTCCATGGAGCTAAAACACTTTTTAAGTTTTCAAGGGATCAACGGGGCAGATACAGCGCTGGTGGTTCTGACCCTGCACTCTTTTACAACTCCACCAATTATTATGATGAATTTGTTTGGGGTGGAGCTTGGTTATATTATGCCACAGGGAACACCAGCTATCTTCAACTTGCTACTACTCCTGGTATTGCAAAACATGCTGGAGCTTTTTGGGGAGGTCCCGACTATGGTGTTTTTAGCTGGGACAACAAGCTTGCTGGTGCCCAGGTAATCCCATGCTGCTTCTTTGTTAGTTTTTACTGTCATTGCAGAGAAAGTAGCAACCTTTGTGGTTAGTTGTCCTTGTCCTTGTCTTAATTTCTGGGCGGTAGATTCTGGTGAGAAGTGAGAAGTTTATTTGATCTTGAGAAGCTTAGTTGATATCTCACTGGACATATAAACTTCAAGATTGTTAAAGTTTAGAGCTTTCTTGAAATATTATAGATGTTAGTCATTGATGTGACCTGTATTATGTGTTTAGGTGCTTCTGAGCCGATTAAGATTGTTTTTGAGTCCTGGCTATCCATATGAGGAAATGCTGAGAACATTCCATAATCAAACTAGCATTATCATGTGCTCATACCTTCCAGTTTTCACAAGTTTTAATAGAACCAAAGGTACACTGCCTCCTGTTTATCTTTTGTGGTTTTTGCCTTACATATATATATATATATATATATTTTTTTTTTTTTTCTTATGGTATCTCACCAAGACTTCTCTAAACTCATACAGGAGGTTTGATTCAGTTAAACCATGGAAGGCCTCAGCCTCTTCAATATGTTGTTAATGCAGCCTTCTTAGCCACCCTTTTCAGCGATTATCTTGACGCTGCAGATACACCAGGATGGTACTGTGGACCCAATTTCTATTCTACTGATGTCTTGCGTGGATTTGCCAAAACCCAGGTATCTCATGCTTGATATTTTCTGTGTTGCTTGTTTAATCCTAATAAATCCTATTAAGAAAGGATGACCAAAAGCTCCCTTTTTTCTACTGTTATTTTGGCAGATTGATTACATCCTGGGTAAAAATCCTCGGAAGATGAGCTACATCGTGGGTTTTGGTAACAATTATCCAAAACACGTGCACCATAGAGGCGCGTCTATCCCTAACAATAAGATCAAATATAACTGTAAAGGAGGATGGAAATGGAGGGACACTTCAAAACCAAACCCAAATACAATTGTTGGAGCTATGGTAGCTGGTCCTGATAAGCATGATGGATTTCATGATGTCCGTACTAATTACAACTACACCGAGCCAACTCTTGCAGGCAATGCAGGTTTGGTTGCTGCACTCGTGGCATTGTCTGGTGACAAATCTTCTGGGATTGACAAAAATACAATTTTCTCTGCGGTTCCACCAATGTTTCCAACTCCCCCACCACCTCCTGCTCCTTGGAAACCATAAGATGATTTAGCAGTCCTCATCTGTTTCCACCACAACCAAACAGTTTGTGCAACTTTAGTGCAATGATTTGGCTGCAGTAATAGATTTTCAAATCCAATTGACCTTTAAGATGAAGATAGTGTAAAGGTGAGAAAGGGGAGGGGCATGGAAAAGAGGAATGGGTTTTGGCCAAAGCTTTTAAGATGGGTCGACAGTGTTGGAGTGCGGCTAAGATATTTGGGATTTGATAGCTGATCTGAAAATGTGTAATTGTTTGAATTCTGTGATATAGTGTATATGCAAGGTATCAAACTTGTGTTCTTTGAAATACACGATCTTTAAAGAATGTTCTGAAACTGGTTGTGCCAACATCTTTGACAATTGCTTCAACCGGCAATAGACTCGATTTTTTTTTTTTTTTTTAATTTCATTTTATACGTTATTTTATACGTGATTATAAGCTATACATGGGGTGGATCGTTTCTCTAAATCTCTCCTCAGGTCCTAAAGTTTGAATTTAATTTCTTCTACTGGTAGTCAAATCTATAGGAGTTTGCTTCCATTTCTTTTTGTTGAAGAGAAATTTACACCGAGTTTTTCAGTTAATATGTGCTAGTTTTAGGAATTAGTTTATATTCTCTCTTAACTCTGCACGCCTAAATAGTGATGCATGGCTGTTCTTTGATGCCTTGTGGGCTAATTGAGATTTACTTGAGTTCCTTTCTTTAAATGTAAGGAAAGCACAAGAGGCAAAGGCAACCGACGTTAGGTGTCTGACGCTACCTTTCAATTTCTTTAAAGCTTTTAGTTAATGGAAGGACATAACTGCTGGTGAACAGCAAGCAAGATTTCCCGTTATTAGAATGTTTTAAGACGAAGTACGCTAACAAGAATTAAGAAAGCTGAAGTTACAGTTGAAGCCTGGAGGCGGGAAAAGAGTATTCGTGCAAGTGATTCTCCAAATCAATCCCTTTTTTTTTTCTTGTCCTTTTTCTTTTTCTTTCTTTTTTTTTTTTTTTACATTTTTTCACATAGCTGGTTAGATTCTTAGGTACTTTACTTGTTATGATGTCCAATTTTACTTGCAGTCAATTATATTCCTTTCCATTAACTTTGGGCATGTTTATTCCCTACTTCTATCGCTTTATATAGATAATATTTAGCCATTACCAGAGAGGAGAAGATTTGCAAATCACTTGGTTTGTATAAGATATGGCAGCGGACGAATCAAATTCTCTGGAGTATACACCATCATGGGTGATTGCTGCTGTCTGCTTTGTAATTGTTCTCATATCTCTTATTGTTGAGCGTGGTCTTCACCATCTTGGGAAGGTATCAGTTTCCCTTGAACTACCTTGAATTAAGATTTTTCATCTCATTTTAATTCCAAAGAGTTTTTGTGATTCTAAGAGGGAGGGCATATCCAAAGTAACGGGACTGCACTAGCATTTCTGTGGCAAAGCATTATTTATCCAGATCATTTTTTTTCCTTCCTCTCAATAAAAATGCCTTCCAGAAATCAACTGGAACCAATTTCTACTGGCACATAAGTAGATCATTTTTATTGTGAAAGATGCACTTCTACAGATTGGAGTCGGTTGCACTAATTCCTTTTCCTGTAGAACCAAATCTTAAGCTGTCTTCTGTGTTTTTGTCTTGGCAATTCAGTGGTTGAAGCGTGAGGATCAAGATGCACTCTTCGAAGCCTTGCAAAGATTAAAAGAAGGTTTGCCTAAAACTCTCTCTCTCTATTAGTAGCATGCTTTAGACTGCCACAGTAAAATGTTAAGGGAGCTCTTGTAACTCTTAAGTAATTTATAGGTGTGTTTGACATTCATACATTTGTCTTTGAATACGATCAATTTTGTGCATGTGCATGCCATTTTTTATTTGGCCCAAAACTCTATAAACTATTACCCAGTTATCCATTCTGCTCATGCAACTGTGCTTGATATCTTTGATAGAATGACAGAAAAAGAAGCTTTGTGTATAATCTACCTTGTGTAGTCTTACATCATGCCTAATTTTTCTGAGTTATCTGTTATGCTAACCAGTATGTTCCTGATGCTTACAGAATTGATGCTATTAGGATTCATTTCCCTCCTATTAACCGTCTTACAAAGTGTTCTAGTTCGAATGTGTGTCCCACCTTATCTCACATCTCATATGCTTCCCTGCAAGAGGCATACTGAGTCCAACAATCATGGAAAATATCTTTCTCATGCTATAAATAATCCAAGGCGTCTAACTTCTGAAGACATTAGTTCTGAACAATGTGCCAAAGAGGTATGTAGTTAGGCTTTAACTTCAACTCAATTGTCTATTTTTCAATATACAGTTGATACTCTTGGTAGATATGGCTTGCATGTTAGTTTCAACTTTCAATGAATGACCCACCCATATTTATTTGTTTTCAACTGTTCTATGTTTCTTTTCAATGAAAAAAATTAACTAGTAGAGAAGATATGCTCATCCAAAGAAAGTGGCATTTGAATGAGAAATGATCCAATGGGGCTTCTGTTATTTTGGTGCTAATGGTTGCTTTTTGTGCCTTTCTCTTTCTATCTTCAGGGGAAGGTCCCATTATTATCATTGGAAGCGTTGCACCAGCTGCACATATTCATCTTTGTGTTGGCTGTTGTTCACGCGATATTCTGTGCCACTACAGTGGTTCTCGGAGGATTAAGAGTAATTCACCGCACTATAGTTTGTGCAACACATTCCTTAAGATAAATATGTTTGCATTCGAAGTGTTCTGTTTTCATTTCTGTCTGTTGGTTGTGACTCTCAAACTAACAACTGTTTATGATTTAACTTCATGTAGATACGTCAATGGAAGCAATGGGAAGATAAAAAAGGTAGCATTATTTATTTTTAATAATTCAAGCATTCCGTTTTCTTAGGTTGGACGCATATAAGATCCGTCTTATCTGCACTGCAGGTCAAGCAAAGGAAAGTGATCGCCATGAGTTCGTCCAAAAACATGCAGGTGGGTATTGGACGAAGTCAGCTGTAGTTAGTTGGATGGTAAGTCTCACAATTTTTGAGGTGTATTATAGTCACAGATAGCCAACTAACTGCATCAAGTCCTCATACGTGCGTCTCTGCATTTTACTAGTTGTGCAAAAGATTCTATCATATGGTCATTCATTCTCCTATTTTTCAAATCCATATTTTGATGAGAATACATGACTTCACGTATCAGTGAGAATTAGTTGAGATGTTCCCTAGTGTAATGGCTTGATTTCAACGAGATATCTCACTTGGATCTCTCTTCTTTTTGACAGATATCTTTTTTCAAACAGTTTCATGGCTCTGTGACCAAGTCAGACTACTTAGCACTTCGAGAAGGATTTATAATGGTTAAGTACCATGAAAGAACTACGTTTATTCATTTGTGTTGTTTGTGCAGTGTTTTCATAAAAATTCCAGCTGCTTACCTTTTTTTTTCCCCCCACAATATAGACCCACGTCCCTCGCAGTCCTGAATTTGATTTTCACAAGTACATGATGCGAGTACTTGAAAAGGATTTCAAAAAAGTTGTCAGCATAAGGTAATTGTTCTTGATAGATCTACCATTTTCTCTGACCGTACTTTACTTGAGATGCATTTGAATTTTAATACTTATGTAGCCCACCACTACTAATAATATATATATTCAAACACACAGCTGGTACCTGTGGCTATTTGTGGTGTTGTTTTTGTTGCTAAATGTGGAAGGTATACATTATTTTCCCTTGGACAACACAAGTTAAGAAATTACTCAACTGATTTTCTATCGTAGATGGGGAATTCTAATTAATTATTCTGTTTATGGATTGGATTCAAAATGCGCCGCGCAGGATGGCATACTTATTTTTGGCTATCATTTCTACCTTTAGTTGTAAGTGAATCATCAGTTTCATTTTATTTCATTTGTAGCTGGTAACTCATCTTTTTAGTTAGTTTAGTTATTTGAGGAATGAGACAAGCTCACGAGTTTATATAACACGGTTGGGTGATAGCTTCTACTTCTTGTGGGGGCCAAGTTAGAGCATATAATAACTCGCTTAGCTCAGGAGATTGTCGATAAGAAGAAGCCAGGCCAAGAAGCAGCACGAGTGAAACCCTCAGATGAACACTTTTGGTTCCATCGTCCTGGAATTGTGCTTGACTTAATTCACTTCATTCTATTTCAAAATGCATTTGAGATTGCATTCTTCTGCTGGATCTTGGTATGTCAGACTCACCATGCAGTTTTGTTATGCTAGATAAGATATCCATCCATCCCATAAATATTTTCCAACTGCTAGCTCTAAATAACTGCTTAACTTTCTCTTCGTTTTATCTGTAGTTTACCTATGGGTTGCAGTCATGCATCATTGAAAAAATACAGTACATCATCCCAAGAGTTATTGTCGGGTAATTCTCTCACACACCCGTATACTTTTATCTCGATTTGATCATATGCTTAATTTCTTTCTTTTAGAAATTTGATCGTGCTCATTGCTTCTGCAGCATAGTTGTTCAAGTTCTCTGCAGTTACAGCACCTTGCCTCTCTATGCTCTTGTCACACAGGTTAACGTCTAGATTCATAGCTTCGTTTTATGTTGAGGCTCTTTCTTCATAGTTGAAATGCTCATGTATTCCCGTTTCTCTTGTTGTATAAAGATGGGAAGCAAATTTAATCGACACGTGCTTGAAGCGTACATGGGTGTACCTCTTGATAATTTGTTTGCTAGGAAGGACAGACATCAAGCAACCCCAAGCATCTTCACTGCAATTACGATGACAAAAGAGTGTGATCAAATTCAGGAGCAAGAAATGGTTGTTATTGAAGAAAGCAAAAATTCGACAATCCGAAACAATACATCATCAGTTTGAATTACAATCTACTGAATCTAGCAAGCAAATAATAAGCTTTCGCGAAGTCAGTTAATCCATCCAGCTCCGTTTCATATTATATATAGCAGTAACATTTGGGCACTCAAGCTCATAAACGTTTTCCTTTGTTCTGTTTAATGAATGTGTAAAACTGTTTTAATATGAAATGCCATTTTCTTCTCTCACCGCGAATTTCTACTCTTTTTCTTGTTTCCTTCTTTTCCCTAGCTGCCGCCCCTTTTCCCCCTCAGTGGTTAGAATGGATAGCTAAAAATGATAGTTATCTCCTCTCCTATGAGGGTTCGTAAGTAATAGAGTTTGCAAGATTCATCAGACCTTTTTGACTTATGAACATCTATTGCCTTTTTATGTCTAAAAATGTACAGCATCAACATCAGCACAACTGTCTAGCACATGATATTTGAAATCCTCAGTTCTATTCTCCTACACAAGAAGAAGATTCCTACTATATTTTCTGTTAAGGAATAATTTCAACTTTTACATACACTATTCCATGGGATGACGGCTATAACGAAAATGATGACACACCCAGCTGCTTAGGTCTTTCAAGAGGAAGTTTCTCCAGCTCAAAGCCACTCTGAGTAGAGGCTGAAACTTCTTCTCCCGGTGTCTCGGCTCTTTCCAGGTCGTTTAAGGCTCTTTTTGCATAAACCGTAAAAGCAATAGTTGTAATAACTGCTATGACGAAGGAAATAATGTCGTATATGATTTCCACAGCAGTCAAGTGATGGTTCCCATATTTAACATCAGCATATGTCCTTATTAACCGACCACTGCAGAAAAGGTAGAATAGAATAGTTAGATAAAGCAACAGATGAATAACTAATCAAGGTTGTGAAGTTTTTCTTGATAAACTAGATTCAAATGTACGAATTCTAGCAGAACATGCCTATTTGGTTCATCATTGAGCAAGGTTATTTAAATATACATGACATCGAGCACAGACCTATAAATGTAGATGAAAGCTTCGGGCACCATTCCAGCAATTGATCCACATAAATAGGGCCAAAACCTCATATTTGTTACAACAACGACATAGTTGAACACTGTGTATGGAAATGGAGAAACCCTAAAGAGAGCAACCACTCGAAATTGATGGAACCAGCTTCCTTCTCCTGCAAGTCTAAGCATAGCAGCTTTCTGGGGCCATCTTTTTAACCAATGCTGCAATTTCAGTGGGAGGCAAATTTCAGGGGCGAAAAATATGGAAAACTTCTCCACATAAATAATTAATTTCCAGTTAGAAACAGTAAGAGGCTTACATGGATTCGATCACGGAACAGTAACCCAATTAAATATGGAAGGACCATCCCTATGGTTGTTCCTGCCATAATTATAATGAACCCAAGACCATAGCCAAAAATCATCCCAGCTAACCACATGGAAGGGCCGGAAGGTATTAAAAACACTGGAAACAAGGCTAGAGAACCAACAAGAATGGCTGCTAGAACAGGGTGACCAAAGGCAGTGGCTTCCCATTGCATGATTGGGAAAAGAACCTACAATAATTTTGGCAAAAATGTTAAGCCATCCCACGGGGTGTATGCTCAAGGATGCAAAATTGTGCCCGTCTTCCAATATGCATAACATGGTTGGAAAGATAGAAGGAAATTTTTTTTGAAATGGTAGAGAGCGACTCCCCATATAGATTAAATTGGTCGCAAGTTAGTAATACCTGCAGTTCCTTTGGAATGGTTAAATGTTTATTTATGAAAGCAATGAGCATAAATACTCAATTTAAGATGAGAAAAACCAATTGTAGTACATGCCCTAGTCATGCAATCAATGTACTGCAAGGAGTGTAAGGTGAGTTAGTGTCAGGGAGAAACATACCTTCTTGAAGAGAAATGGCATGCCCCATTTCAGGAAGACGAGAAACAATATAAGAATGAGAATGAAGATAAAAATGGCTTTGATCCACCAGATGATAGTTGTATCCGTTGCCTCTTGATGTGGATGAGGTTGTAAGATGTCATCCAGTTCCGCTGCCCTGGGCTCACTGGAAATAACAAGCCTGACGCGTTCACTGTCTTCTCCCACATGAGATGCAGAGTTAGGAATGTATTTCTCATTCTGTTGAGATGAGTTTTCCATCTAAAATAAGGATCCACAAAGTGCATCAAGATGAGAACATGAGCATTTATCAAATTACTACTACTAGCAAATATGTAATGGAAATCAAATCAATGTCTGACTCATAAATAGGGAACAGTTGTTCTGTATATGCATATATGTATTGGTCTTGTTAGCTGTCTGTGTGTGTGCATTTAGGAGAAATTAAGCCAATCCTTCCGTCCCAGATGATAAAAACTGATTTACGTTAATTTAATTTCAAGTCACGGGCTCATACAGTGGAAATCTATGAATCGAATCGAGTCAAACAAATTGGCAAGGGTTTTTTTTTTTTTTTTTTTTTAACCATATCAGAAATACATTCAATTCCAGGAATTATGGCTGAGGGGATGTCTCCTAATGGTTTTATAAAAGTCATTCCTTAACCTCCTCCTACTCAATCACAGTCTCTTCCCTTTCTTTTTCTTAAAAAGGTAAAAAAAAAAAAAAAATGAAGTTATCAAGAACAAAAGCTCAGACAAAGATGAAGATAAAGGAAAGTCAAGTCAATAGAAAGCTCAAAAATAAATAAAATAAAATAAAAGTCCTAAACATTTGTTACCTACCTGGTGTTCCGCGGCGGTGAAGCAATTTTCTGATTCCGAAGGGCGACACGCTTTCCGTCACCTCCGGTGAACGTCACATACAAAGTTTCAAGTTTCAGTTGTCGTGATTTCTAAACAAAACTCAATTTCAAAGGAAACAGAATAACTTTACCACTTTGACCTAAACTTTAATTTAATTAATTAATTTTTTTTTCTTCAGAAAAATCAAAGATTGACTCTCCCTTCCTCTTTCCATCCAGATCCATGGCATTTCCTCGAAAGAAAACTCGGCGTTAACGGTAGGCTAAATTATTCATTAAGCTCCCCAACGTTTTTCATATTTCCTAATTGAGGATTCTGGCTTTTGTTTTTCCTACTTAAGGATTGTAAGTTTGGCTTCTTTACCATTTTTCTTCTTTTAGATATATATATTTTTTAAATTTTAATATATTATATTGTTTTCTTTCATAATTTAAGTAATTATTATGATACATGGTTCAGTTTTACCATTTCACTAAATCGGTCCTATTGCCATGTTTATCATTGAAATTTTCAATTTGAAAATTTTCAAGAAAAAAATACACTCATAATGAGTAGTTTTAAATAAGAAAAAAAAACCAATGAGGGGTTGGATCAAGTGGTAAGCGGTTTGTTCCAGCTTAAGTAAGGTCTCGAATTCGAGTCTTTGCGTATGCAGCAGCCCCCGCTGGGAGACTCACCCACCATTTCCAGGTGTGCGACGCGGGTCGGGTCCGGATTAGTTGGGGTGAAGTCCTGGATACCGGGTGGGAAACCAAAAAATAAAAAAAATAAAAAAAAAAAACCATAAAATTCTTCACACAATAACTTAAAGCATCATCACGCCGTTAGCAAAATGGAAAGTCTGGTGCAAAGCTTAAAAGTTGAGGGATGAAACAAAGTGTTATATTGAGTTTAGAGACAAAATTAGTACAAAACCAAAAAATTGAGATTCAAATTTGTTTTTAAGAATATCAAGAGAAATATATATATAAAGGGAAAAAACACAGCCTTCTCCCTCATGTTAAAGGATAGGTTGAATTCATGCAAGTTAATATATTTGATTTGTGATAATTTCCTCAAACCATTTACTAGTTCGGTAAGT